ATTAAGGTACGAATCCTGGCCGTTTAAGATTAAAATCCAGGAGAAATACTGTAATAATCCTGTATTCGGAAGGTTTACAGAATCTAAACACGTAAGTACGAAACGACTATTTTCGGGGAAGTTCAGGGCACAAAGCCTAGCACCACATACAGCATTCCTCCAGGCAATTCCACTTTAATGGGAGCTTGGCATGGCGTGGTTGGTTGTTGTTGTGCTGGAATAAAAGCAGTCTCCCTGCGTTACAGAACCGAACTTGACTGGGTTTTATTACTGGTATTTCTGACGCATTTGTTTTCTATTGCAGACTTGCTTTCTAATATTAGCGAGCACAAGTGAGAGAGCTGTCACAGTATCCGTTTAAAATTCGCAAGCTCGGCGCCATTTTTTTTCAGTATGCATCGCATTTGAGATTCTATGGAATTAGTTGGACGTCTGTCCGAATATTCACTAACTAGTGAGTCTATTTTCAAGCCGAATTCATAGCGAGAGTTGAGCCGATAAAGTTGGACAGCACTAAAATTTACTTTTCATCTATTCGGACCGGGGGCGTAAGCAGCTATTAAATATCCTAGTCACGGTTACTAAGTGCTGGGTTCAGCAACAAAGAAGAGCATAACACACATACAGTACTATCGCTTATTGGTCTGTCATAATAGTGCTCGATATTCACCTCTACGACCGTAATATTTCCCCTTACTCATTACGCCATGTATAACGGTGAGGACTCCGCATAGAGGTACCATCGCGTATATAAATCTGTTGCAGACCAACTAGCATTACTTGCCTTCTCCTGGGAAATGTCGTGGATACTTGTATTTTGCTTCGAAGTACAGAATACTTAATCAAGTGCTGAGAATTAGTTGTTTTTCTTGCTGTATTGTTTGCTACCCGCCCAACGTTGAAATAGAGGTCGATAAGACGACCATTTCCTAGTAGACTATGGTAAACCAAGTCTTGTTGATTGTAACATAGTCTGAGTCGTTAAAGCTCACAAGATGAATTGTTCGGGTTGAAGGCACGTTTTCCTTACTTCGTCTCTGCGGGAGCACTTGTGTTTCTGTAGCCAAATACACACCATCTCTGAGTACTGTTAACAGCAAGTAAATGTGAGGCGTCTCAGCCAGCACCTACTTCATGTAAGTACGAGTTCGACAGCGTCCAACAAATTCTTACTACAAAATGGGTTAATACCTCATTCAAACGCTCTCAACGAGATTCATCGAGCCCATAACAGCTCGACGAACATGTCTAACGCGTTCATCGAGGGAGGGTCTGAATCTGAAATGCCCTCACAGGGCCCTCCCTTTATCAAAAAAAAAAACGGCAAAACGAGCAACGTTAAAAGGCATTAGAGCATCAATAGTGCCAGAAACGTTGCGACAATTAACGATGCATTACTCAGGCTGACAGAATACGAAATAATATAGGTAATCCACCGCTTCAATGTGCCAGTTGGGAGAGAATAAAAGGTGGAGAATAAGGATCCTGAGACCCGGCGTCGAAATGGCAGCTACCACGTCCACGAACTCTACCCAGTGAGGCCGTCACAACGCAATTTGCGGCTTCGAGCGCGGACTCGTTGAGTGTTAAGCTCACCGCGAGACGTCGAGAATGATGGTCAAACTTCAACTTCTGTTCGCGTCGGCCTGTATCAACTTTGGCACTGGCGATAGCAATGCAGTGGACTTACTGTCCGCTGCACTTGCTACAACTGCTGCCAAATGTGCGAAGGAGCCGACCCAGCGTGTGGACTGTTACCCACCACGTGCCAATTTCCCGGACCCGACGGAGGAGTTGTGTCTGGCTCAAGGTTGTTGCTGGGAAAGCTTGGAAAATGAAGGTATTCCATGTACGTTTGCTGCAGAAGAACCTCCGAGTGAAGAAAAGTGCAATAATGTGGCCAAACCGGCGCGTCTGGCGTGTCGAAACCCGAGGTTTGCCTCCTCTAAAGTGCTGGAGGATGCCGAGACCTGCGAATCCGCTGGCTGCTGCTTTGATGATGGAGACTGTTTCCAGCCGATGAGTGACGGATACGAGCTGCTTACACTGGACGAGACGAGTAATGGCTGGCGTGGAACACTCGCACTGCATCAGGGAGGTACTGGACCATTTGGTAACGATGTGCCGCTACTAGAGTTGAATGTCGTTCGAGAATCGTCGAGTCAATTGCGGATTCGTATCACCGATCCAGCGTTCCCGAGATATGAAGTGCCAGATCTACCGGTGCGACGTCAAGACAGACAAGAAGATATCAATGAGAGCGACTACAAGGTGCACTTCACTCCATGGCCATTTGGAGTGGCAGTGACTCGTCGAGACTCTGGAGAAGTGTTGTTCAACTCCACACCGCCAGTGGAGAGAGCAGACAAAGGTGAGAGCTTCAGTGGGTTAGTGTTTGAGAATCAATTCCTCGAGATCTCGACGCAGTTGTCAGTGAGTGAAGAAGACCATCAGCCTATTCTCTACGGACTTGGAGAACGTCTTGGCCCGGCAAGACTTCGAGCGGATGGAGATCTCTATCCAATGTTCTCACGTGCCCCGAATGCTTCTGCTCCAGTTCATTCTCGTAGTGGTGGAGACAACTTGTATGGAGTTCATCCCTTCGTGCTACAGCTAGAAGGCGGTCAGTCTGGCAATGCACATGGTGTATTCATGCTCTCTTCGAACGCGATGGAGGTCCTGGCACGTCGCGATGCACTGACGTATCGGCTCACGGGTGGAATCCTTGACATCTTCGTATTCTCCGGTCCAACCCCGCAGAATGTCGTTGACCAGTACACAGGTATTGTGGGTCGTCCGGCGATGCCTCCGTACTGGGCCTTGGGTTATCATGTTGGTCGTCGTGGAGAAGCAAAATCAGTTGAAGAAGCGATGAAGATTGTCACGCAGCTCCGGATGGCTGGTGTCCCCATGGACGCATACTGGCAAGACTTTGAGTACACGGCCGACAACGGACGAGCTTTGTCCTTGGACGAGACCAAGCATTCGCATCGAGACATGCGTGCGTTCATTGATGACTTGCACTTCCACTCGCAGTATTTCGTGTGCGTCCAAGTTCCAGGCATCACGATGCAAAGCACGTCACGAGAGATCGAGAGCAAGAGCTGGAAAAGGGCAAAGCACAACGCTCTTACATTCCATACTCGTGATACCAGCGAAGACGATGAAGGTTATGATCATAGCGATGACGAAGAAGGCGCTGATGGTCGCGATGCCAGCAATGCAGACGACAATACTCGTGATGGAAGCGGTCGCGATATCTCTGGTGAAGGAAGTGGAGGTAGCGATCAAAGTGCCGAAAGCGACCAGAGTGAAGGTGGCGAGCAACAATGGGATCCCATCGCGCGGGGTGAAGAGCTTGACATATTCGTTAAGGGAGTAAATGGGGAACGCTACGCACAGAAAGCATTTCGGTCTGGTTGGGCTGTGTTCGTTGATTTCTTTCACCCTCAAGCCTCGCACTTTTGGCACGAACAGCTTGCCCAATTCCACAAGTACGTGATGCCTTTCGATGGTTTGTGGCTGGACATGAATGAACCTAGTAGCACCTGCGACTGTGCTTTGGCGGCTGAAGACGATATTTGCGCTCATGTCTGCACTGAACGTCACTCGACCAGACCTTCTAACGACGAGGGGATCGTGGAGTTTGAACAAGTTGGTGTACCGGATGGAGGCTTTATCCGCACGAACGACGTCAACTTCCCATTTGATCCGTATCGCCAGCCTTTTGCTCCGGGTCAAAACGAACCAGCCACTGGGGGTCACGGCAATCTGAACTCGGCTACTCTTCCTATGGCTGCACTACACCATTTTTCACTGCACTACAATCTCCACTCGCTCTACGGTCATGCACAGGCTCGTGCTACGCACCGTGCACTGAACTCCATTGTCAAAAAACGTAGTGTACTGCTCTCTCGTTCCACGTTCTCCGGAACGGGTCGATACGCCGGTCACTGGGTGGGCGACGACGCTGAGGCCTCATGGGAACAACTCCGCTTGTCGCTATCTGGTACATTGCAGATGAACTTGCTCGGTATCCCTCTTACAGGTCCCAACGTCTGCGGATCTCGTGGTCGTTCTTCAACCGAGCTTTGTGTACGTTGGCACCAAGCTGCTTCCTTCCTGCCTCTGCTTCGCAACCACGCAGAAAGTGACGATGCCAAGCAAACGCCTGTCGATTTTGACGCTGACGCTCTGAATATTTTACGATCGACTTTGCTACGACGTTATCGGTATCTGCCGTACATGTACACACTCTTCTATGAGGCTCATCGTTCGGGTAGTCCAGTGGTTCGACCTCTTTCTTTCGAGTTCCCGGATGATAAGAACGCTCGAGATGTCGAACACCAGTATCTACTCGGTCCAGCACTGATGGTCTCTCCAGTGGTGCATGAAGGTGCGATTTCAGCCGAGGTGTATTTCCCTGATGCGAAATGGTACGATGCACACAACGGGAAGTTGGCGTTGGACCCCGAAGCTAGAGATAATCGACGTGTTAGTCTGCTGACTCCGCTTGCCAAACTTCAAGTTCATCTCCGTGGAGGGTACGTTATCCCTACGCAACAATCGCTGACAACTACCGCTCTTTCACGTCGTGGAGCGTTTACGCTGCTAGCAGCATTGGATATGTCACAAGAGACTCCGTCAGCCTTTGGAGAACTGTACGTGGATGATGGGGACTCGCTGTCAGCTGTGGAAGATCGTCGCTACTCGTTGATGAACTTTGGAGTACTTCAGAACTCGAGCAATAGTGTTGAGTTCAAGAACTCGATTAAGTTTCACGGGTATGCTGGACCGGAGATGCAGGCGGATCTCAGCGAGATACGTGTGTATGGCGTATGTGGAGGAGGCTTTGCTGCGAACTCGTCGATGGACGCGACGCTCTTGTCTAGTGGTGAAGGTTCTCCACGGGAGGTCTCGATCAAGGCTGATTACTTCGCGCAGTCCGACATGCTGGTTCTTTCTCGTCTTGATGTGCCTATCGGACAAGAATTTCACGTCAAGGTGGTCGCTCAACCGGCTGCAACGCCTGAAGGCGGCAAGAGAGAAACGGGTGTTGGAGCGAACGCGGGTAAATCTGGTAGTGAAGAAGAAGCTGAAAGGGGTGCACAGGGAGGTAAGAAACCGGCTGAGAAGAAGAAGAAGTCCAAGTTTTCTGTCACTGGGATTGTCGGTATTGTGGTGGGCTGCGCTTTCCTGGCTGCAATCATCTTAGTCTTCTTGTTGCGTCTGCGTCGTCGCCGCCAGGGATACGAAACGATCTGACAAGTGCCGGTAACGAGACATAACAGGCGATGAACAAAGCTCGAATGATTGAGTAAGGTGTCTTCGTTTGTGCAAGTTGAGTGAAAACGGAGGCTGATGCGAGACTTTATTTTTGCTGTTAAGGCAGAACATGAATGAGGTTTTACTCAAGAATAACGGTGGATTAGTTGCCTTTGTTTACGTTCTTGTGACGATCGTAGCTTTTCGAGTCATCGTGACGATTCTCATGATGGCATCTTCACACGTTTTAATGCTTTTGTGTGGAACAACTGAGTTAATTTTTTTTTCTCGCATCGAAGTACATTGTGCACAATGTGCAGATATCTATTATACAGGAAATTCAGCAAGCACCTCACATCTGGAGTTCATGAAGAGCACTGTCCAAAAGCCGACGTCGTTCGTGACCCAGTCGCTTCAATTCGTGGATGGTCTTCGCCGTCAATGCTCCGTTTGGAAGAAGCTTTACACTGGTAGACACGTGTAGTTCAGTCGGAGGAGAGGTTGGATCTGCTATCCTTTCGGCTGGACGTACGCTGTCACCAGTATCCTGCGCTTTATGCTTGTCCGTCGTCTCCAGTTGAAGCAAAAAGGCTTCTTCCTCTTGTTCTAGTCGCACAATCGACCGGAGCAAGTTCAACACTGTCGAGCTGCAGTTGCCATGAGTCAGTAAGACTCGAGCTAGTGGACTGACGCCTGAGCAAGGGTTACGATGATGAAAGTGCAGTTTTTGGTGTTCGAAGATGCCACATTCGAGGATTTCAGCGCAGGTAGGACGTAGTTGAGGTTCGTCTTGTACCATGGCGCAAATGAGTTCACTGATCTGTGGGTGCTCATCCACAAGCGACGGAGGTAACTGACCCTTACGAACATTGCTGAGAACCACATAGCGCTCCATCTGCGTCGTGAAGGTGCAAAAGAGTTCACACAGGAGAACACCAAGACTGTAAACGTCACTAGGAGCGACACATGTTTGCAACCCGTTGGTTTGTTCTGGACTGCTGTAAAGTGGGGTTCCTACACCCACCGAGAACTCAGAGACCTCCTCCATCTCCTCATCTGTGCTGTTGCACGACATAGAGTCGAAGCTATCGTATCCTTCCTCGCAGAGATAGCGAGACGGGTGGAGGTTCAGACTGGTCTGTAGAGTGTTCTTGGATAATCCAAAGTCTCCGATCTTGACGCAGAACTCCCGAGTGAGGAAGATGTTGGCTGGTTTGATATCGCGATGCACAAGTCCCTTCGAGTGAACATATTTGAGACCATTGACGATCTGTCGGAAGATGTGCATGTTCTTGGAGACGTCGATCTCTCCAGACTTGCGTTGATCAATCCAGTCTCGCAGTGACTTCCCCTCATAGAGTGCCATTTGAATGTACACATCGATCTGAGTGATGAAAGCCCCTCCGTTCGATGTGGAGGACTCCCACGATTTAGGTGGGCGCTCCATGCTTGACTGTCGATTGAAAGACTCGTCACCGTCTTCGTTAATGCGTCGAGGACTTGTCTTCCCGGCAGCAAGGCGCTGCGATCGAGCCAGCGATTGTCGAGGACTAACGTTGCGTTCATTTTCCTCAGTTTCTTCCATTTCAAAGCCCAGATCGGTAAAACTAGCCACGTTGTCGTCTTCGGGGTCGTAAGAGTACGCGTCGGAGTAATTCGACGAGCTCATGACCTCATCGTCGATATCCACCGACTCACTCGTAGAAATGAAGATTGATCGGGATGACCCTGCTGGGCTACTTGTTCGTCTAGTCAGTGTGTGGGTAGGAGCGTAACACGGGCTTTCTGGTTGCTCGACCTCTTGTCCTTTATTCACCGCTGGAATGAGCGACCCAAGCACCCACGTGTTGTAGTACCGGCAGACGTTTTCGTGGTCCAGGCCGGCTAAAACAAGAGCTTCGTTCATCATGACGTCGCGTACCTCGGACGGGTTGAAATACGTCTCCGGTTTGAACCAGAACTGCTCCAGTTTCACAGCGTACCAGTGTCCATCGATACTCGACTTGCACTTGTACACTTTGCCGAATCCTCCTTGAGCGATCAGTTCCTTCTCTCCAAAGTCCGTTTCAAAGGGATTAGAGCGTTCAAAGAGCCCACTTCCGGGCCGTTCTCCCGGTCGTTCCCGACGTTGAGAAGCCGGCGGACTTATGGCGCATTGTTGCACTGGTTTACCGTTCTGAACGGGAGTTGACAAGCATCGCGAAAGCGGCAGAACCACCGGGCTTTGCCTGGGTTTCGGCGGGGTGGTGGAGTTCTTCTTCTTGTCGACACACACAGGGCTTTTCGACGATCGGAGCATTGCACAGTAACGGCGATTGTTGCAATGAAGGATGCACAGGAACTCGAAGAAAGCGGTGCATGGTCCAGTTTCTCAAAAATAGCGGTCATCTAAGCGATCTGATGATGTCTGTGCCGCTTTTTCTGGCCCTCAGTGCCTGCATTCCTTGTCTTCTGTCGTTTCGCTTTCCAGCGTTCAAGCGGCTCTTTGAGATTAAACCAAGAAAGGTATGACAATGGAAGGGATCAATGGCGTCTTCGGTAAGCCCAAGCCGCTGCGAAGCAAGCTGGTTAAGGCCTCCGAGCGACTAGAAGAAGATGCCCAAGCGATGGAGTCAAGATTGCGTCAACTTCGAGTGACGATGCTGGAAGAGAAGAAGAAACGAGACGCACAACTCCCCCTAAAACACGCTGGGAACCGGTGGCGTAGTGCTCGGGAAGATCGAGGCAGTGTGAGGCAATACGCGCGCGATGTTCAGGATAGGAAGGCGTTTAACAAGAAGGAAAGTTCTGATACTGGAACGAAAAAATCAAAGACGAAGAAGAGCTCGTCGCGATCGAAACTTACGATTCTTTCACCTGCTACGGTGGAGCAGTGGACAGTACCTCAAGTGGTTGAGTGGTTAGCGACTATCGGTTTAGATGAGTTCCAAAGTGGCTTTGAATTCCATCAAGTTACAGGTAAAATGCTGCTTAACCTGTCACCAGCAGGATACGAGAAGCTCGGCGTCTTTAAGTTGTCGGCACGCAATAGACTCCTGGCTGAGATGGAGCTGATCCGTGCTCAGCAGGTCAACTACGAATGTCACAATGGCACTGAAGCAGCAGAAATTATCGACTCAAAGCTTCGAGATGCTCAACTCGTTCCTGAAAATTTGCCGCCAAGCAAACTCGCAGCGAAGACCCATTGGTCTCACGTAACTCCGCTCTCGGAAAACGGCGTTGCTAGTGGAGACGGTCAAGTTTCAGTCAATTTAGCTGACGGAGAATTTAACGAGGATGAGAGTCACGCTTCATTTATGAAGGCACTTCTAGAGTGGAGAGAGAGCGACTCGAAGCAGCTAGAGAACCAAGAAGAGGAGGAGTGGATGAATCCAATGTTTAGTACTGGAACAGAAGATCAAACAAATGGAGGTGCCTTACTGGAAGGAACGTACAATGAAGAGGAGGCACATAAGTCGTTCGAAGAAGCACTAATGGCATGGAGAAACGGAGGCAATGTCACGACCAGTTCCGCGACTCCAGTGGAACAAACCGAGAGTGGGTGCACTCCAAGCGAACGAAAATGTTGCTGGCAGTGCTATCGAGTTGTGCAAGTAGACAACTTAGTACACGATGAACAGACTGACAAGTCATTCTGTGGCCCAACGTGCCGAGAAGCGTACCGCGAACAATATGCTCGGTTCTATGTTACCTCATCATGAGTTTAAGTACCTCATCATGAGTTTAAGTGTCTTTCATTTAACAATATAACGAGCATTCTTAGTTGGATTTCTGCTTAGAACTTAGTTCTTCGGTGGCTATTACGCTCGTTGTCCTTGCCTTTCTTCCCTGTGCTTGTGCAAACTAGTAGGGATGAAATGCGCTTAACCGTCGATCGGTCCATGACATCGAAGTCCAAGTCGACCAAATCTTCTGGCTCTGCGAATGCACGTATCTTGTATTAGACAGGATAACACCATCGGACAACTAAATGATGTAGTTTTACCTTTGCCGTCATCAGGTGCTTTCGCTGCTGGCGGTACAGTACTCACGCCAAGGACATAGTACGGTTCCTTCGGCTTCGGTGGGATACGGATGTTGAATGGTGAAGTGAAATGGTCTGCGGAGACCACACCCAATTCTGCGATCGCCTTCGATGCATTGCTGGATTCTCCCTCTCCACCGACTGGAGTAGCCTCGCCTGACGTTAGAGCCTCGTCGATGGAAGACTGGTTCGATGGGCTGTCAGAATCGAGTCGAGTTTCGCGCACGAGTTTCATCATCTCTTCTATCGAACCCATGAGTGCGTTCTCGATTCCTGCCATGTCATCCACGTTCACAGTCTCGTTCGTGACGTTCTGTAGAATTTGCTGCAGTCCGATCTAAATCACATAATACACCACCTTTCTCAGTGGAGGGTACGTTACTCTCTCTCTCTCTCTAAGCAAAGTTCGACAAACCTTTAGAGGGCGGACACTCTGATCCACAAACATGTACTGATCAACGACAGTAGCCAGTGCACGTTCCACACTGGAGATTTCAATCTCCTTGACTTCTAGTCGTTGCGAAGTTCCCCGTTTAGATAGCGGGACCTTCTCGTTAGCAATGTTCCGTGATTTCGCCTACCACACACGATAACGTCAGGATAAACCTATACAGTAGGATAAAACCAATTACCAATATACTCACGAGCTGGTCGCGCAAAACAGCAATTCGCTCCATGTCCTCGTCGTGTTTGGCGCCAAGTTCCTTCATGATTTCCTCATGAGAAAGCCACGTTCGAATGATTTCTTCCGGATCTACACCCTCACTGTAATGGCCGAATCCCATTCGAAGGAAAGCCTGGCGATACTCTTCTTGTGGGTCCATCTCATCGGAAGTAGTTATGTGAACGCTCCGCATTTTGTTCGGTGAACCTGCACCATAACAAAAATGTGAGCTGTTCGCAAAACAAGTCAAATAAATGAATCAACGCACGGGATCGAGAGTTACGACGGGTATTTGGAGAGCCCATCTTCGGCCCAACGTCAGAGCCCCCATTCTGGCCCTGATTGTCGATCAACGTCTGCATTTGATCATTATAGTATTTCTCGAACTTGGCTTTCTCTCGTGCCCATTTCTGCCGCATCTCAACCTCACGTTTGTACTTGCGCAGATTAGTAGCCATCTCGACCTTCTGCTCGACTAATCGCGCCTGGATCTGACTCACAGCTTCACTCGCACTGATTTCTTTCTTCTGTAGCTCTTGCGTCTGATGATTCAGATCTGCAAATCGAGCTTTGAGCTCGTTCGTCTCTTGTGTGACTTCAATGCGTTCATTCAGCAGCCGCTTCTTGATATGTTCGAGTACCATCGTACTACGCAGTACCTCATGCGAAGCTTGCGCTCGTTTTTCTAACTTGGCCTCCAACTCGTTGATCTTTGTGTGTTTCGAGTACACTGGACGCCTCGAGATTGAGGCAATAGGTTGTAGACGATTGGGTTCCTCCACAATCTTGTCACCCGTTGAGTTGTGTCCACCGTCTTCGCTCTGATTGTTACCAGGGTTATAGTGCAGCCCTAATGCTTCACTGTCCTTAATCAGATCCTGCAACACCAGCTTGGCCTTCTCCACCTCCTCGCGCTTCTTGGCCACCTCAAAGCGCAGTTTGTCGCTCTTCGCTCGCTTCAGTTCCACCACCTTCCGCACTTTGTGCTCCAGATCGCGAATCAATTCATCGCTCGTCGCTCCTACACGCTCTCCATTCACAGCTCCAGGAACGTTGCGAGGTGGCGACTCCGGCGCAATAGCAAGTTGTGCGGCCGACTGCGGCCTCAATTTGCCCTGCAGGGGCTGCTGAGCCGCAGCATTCGCCTTACGCTGGCCCGTAGCCGGACGTGCAACCATCTTCAGCTTGTTATCCGTTTCAAATACGTCTAAAACTGCATCTAAACCTGTACCACCATCACGATAAACTTGACTAAGCGGTACCCACATCGTAATCATCAAAAATGAGCAACAAAAAATTGCAAGTTGAAGTGAACTTTCATCTGATTGGTCGATATCTCGCTTCAGAATCCAATCGTGTTCGACGTGGCAATAACCGACGTGCCAGTTCAGGATTTAACTCGTCGAGCCGTAATGAGCAGCTCCGGCGCCTTCCGCGACAGCCTGCGCAGCCAGAGCTCGGTGCAGCTCATGGGATTCATCGACCATTGCGTGCGTGTGGACGTACAGGAGACGACGGAGGAGGGCGAGCTGCGTATCCGCGGCTACGAGACGCTGTTAGGCACCAGCACCGCCGTCTTATCCTGTATTCAGGTGTTACGTCGTATTATCCGCGAATACGCGTACGGTCGCGTGGGACGAGAGCTGCAACATTTTTCACTTACTGTGGCCTCCTTCGAACGCGTGCTTTACACCTTCATTAAGGAGGAGATCGTCGTGGCTTCCAAGCATTACGCCAGTCGCCCACCTGTGGATTTCAGGACTAAAACGGCACTTAAAGATATTATTCCATTGATTCCTACCGATGAGAGGTACACGATCCTATCAGGAGGTGTGGCGTCGCTCTTACGACACGCTACAAAGTCATTGGAGGAGACGCGGCAAGTGCTGGAAGAGCTACAATCCGGATACAATCCGGATCGCGAGAACCGCTGGTCCAGGACGTCCGTGGTGCTCGTTCTGACCTTCATGTTTCTATACAAGAGATTCCGTATCCGTACGTCGTTCAAGCAGTTCATAATGCAAGTACTGCCTACACGACAGATGATCAAGTGGGGACTAGTGCTCCTCGTGGCTGCAGACTACTGGAACCGAGCCATGTATCGGTTCTCCAACTTGCGACGCATCAAGGTGCACCACGCTCGAGTTTTAATGGCATTGAGGCTGTTTCTGCTCTGTCAGCATGTGCTGCAACGCGCTCGACCGATCAGTAACGCGTCGGACCATCGACTGTTGATTGATAGCCCGATGGAGGCAGATATCGACGACGATTTAAAAAACGCCACGACGCTGTTGATTGAGAGAGTGCCGCTACCTGCTGAGTACTACGATCGGTCGTCCGAGCCGTGGGGGTTCACAGCGTTCAAAATCGGCACGAACGTTCTCACTGCTTCCAGTGCTTTTGCGCACTCGATTCTAGGGCTACAGAACAAGCTTCTGCTCAAGGTCTTCGGCCCGCCGTTGCTTATAATGGCTATCCCGTACTATGCGATTCGAAACGCCAAGGCTGCACGATACACGACGCGTACGCTTATCGACCACCCCAATGTGGATGTGATTCGCATGGGCTGGCAGGTATTTGGCGAGTCTCGACTGGTACGCTTCATCACGAGTCTTCAGTGCCCCAAGATCCCTGTCTTTGAAGAGCAGTTCTTAGCAGCCGATGGATCCAGTCTCAACAAGAAGCGTAGCAGCGAGTCTGATATCGGTATTTACCTTTTCAGTGCGCGGCCGATGGACTCTGTGAAAGCAGGGACTTGGACTAACGCCTGCACACCGTTAACTACCAAGATGATCGCATGTGGCTTACCGTCAACGCGCCCCGTTATACTATACATCCATGGCGGAGGCTTCTTCGGACGCTTTATTGCTAAAGACTTTTTGAACCTGACGAACTGGGCATGTGTGCTGGGTGCGGTAATCGTCTATGTCGGTAAGTTATGCACCCTCAATCTTAAGATTTTCTATTGCTGACTTGTTAAGCTGTACTCGCAGATTATGGCCTAGCACCGGAGACGCACTATCCGGACTCCATGAACCAATGCTACACTGTGTACAAGTGGATACTTAACGGTGGATTAGGCTTCCGTCCTGGCAAGATTGCGCTGTTCGGTGAAAGTGCTGGTACGTCTTCTGACATTTCTTATGGCGTCTTACACAAATTAACCTTTCTGGCTGCAGGTGCGAACATGGGGGCTGCGTTGTGCATTCGATGCATCCAAGATGGCGTTGATCTGCCGAGTGGGAACGTGTTCATGTTCCCAGCACTGAATCTGCACTTATCTCCGTCGCCGTCACGGTTTATCCACCAGAACGACCCTGTGTTGCCACGCGGTATCCTTGAGCTGGCACTCACGTCGTACTACCCTTCACATGGCCACTCGAACCAGTACAAACTCAACATTCACGACCCGTGCGTGTCTCCTGGATTGGCAGAAGATTCACTACTGGAAAAATTCCCACCGACGTCGCTCGTGGTAGGCGACTTGGATCCGCTTCTGGATGACAGCGTTGACTTCTACACGCGCCTCTCGTTCCTTAAGGTGCCGTCGACGCTGAAGATTTACTCGGGACTCTCACACGGCTTCCTCATCTACGGTGACCTGGTTCCGGAGGCTCAGAAGGCCATCGATGAGACGTGCGAGCGCGTGCAGAACTGTATCCGGTTACGCTACGGAGCATAAAGCTTGAATGTAGTATATTTCCCCTGTTCATGTAGACACCAACGATAAACACTATGATGCTGCAACTAGACTTTTGCGAATCGCGGTTACAACATTCGTGACCTTGTGCTGAAAGGAAAACACATTTTCTTCCTGGGGGGTTAATTGATCTTCTATTTGGGTTTAATTATCCTATCGCGCATTTTCCCTCAGCGTCTGGTATTAATACCAAATCCTTCGAAAACCCCCATAATTTCAAAGCAGTTAAAATTGGTAACATTCTGGTTATCTAATTATTTGAATTTTTCACTTGGTCCTTCTTCATGGCCTCATCTCTTTGGTGTGCCGTTGCTGGCGCCTTTGGGTACAACTCGTTCACGTTAAGGTGGCCCTTGATGCCAAGATCATTAACGTCAAGGTAGAAATCAAGGATAAACTGGGAAACTACCTGCAGGACGTCAATGCCGAGGATGTGTTGCTGTTCCCCGCGATGAAAGAAGACGGAAATTATCTTCCAATATATTCTCCTGAAGTTGCCAAGCTAGCAAAAGGAGATACTTACGACGTTTGGGATATGCTAAGGCGAGAGCTTTTGTTAACCCTGGATGATCGCGTCGCTGACATTATTCGTAACGGCATACATCGTCCTTACCTCCATTTACTTATAGTGTAGCCAATACAAGAACTCCGATGCAAGGTGGTTGGAATGAGGAAGGATGAGCTCTGCGTGACTGTAAACCTATTAAAACCAATGAAATATACATGAGGTAATAGCGACGGTTGCTCAAATTTCAAAGGAAGGTCTCCGAGTCTTTTTGCCAGTAGGGCAAGATGGCAAGTGGATTTGCTATGGGTTTTGTGAGGCGGATGACAGCTGGGCACTTAGCATGGGCCAAATTACAGACAGAATCGCCTATATGCTGCGAAACGAGGCTGAAATAATAGATTCGTTCACTCTTATTGGTGCGCCGGATGACGAAACATGCAACCTTCACCTTCTAATGATAAGGGCAGCTTGGGGCTTTTTGGTCTTGGATGCTTCTGGATACGCCGACCTTATGATATTCCAGGATGGAAGATAAGTGTGCGAAAGAACCCGAACAGGCGATACTGGGAGCGATAGCAACGAAGAGGAGGGCGATGAGTATGATGAGTTGGAATTGTAAAGGATGGAGACTGTATTGACACAGGTTGTGGTAGCAATGGAAATGGTCAATACTCATACGTCAAGAGGTGCGATGGGTATGGTTACGAGCTACTCTGAGTGGTACTTTGTCATGTTGCCGTATGAAGGCAACATCGTAAGGCCTATCGTATCGACTGGCTACAAATGGCTAACCCCGGGCGTCAGTACTCTAATAAGCGATGCTCTGGCACGCCTTTTTGGCAAACTCTCCAGTCTGGTGGCAAAAATGATGAAGACCCACGAGATGAGTCGTAATTAGGAGGTGTGTAGTGTAATACGCTTAACAAGACAAACTATTACCTTTGTCTGTCTGTTGGCGGAAGTCTGACTCGTGCGTTCATTCGTTAGCATGAAATGACATAATATGCGTACCTTGCTTGAAAATGAATAAACCGGATTGACGTCGTTCTACTGTACCAGTACTCTTCACACGGCTTTGCCTGTCTCCTGGATTGGCGGAAGACTCACTACTTGAAAACCTCCCGACACCGTCGTGGTGGGTGACCTGCATCCGACAGTGCTGAATTCTCCACGCGCCTCTCGTTCCGCATGGTACCGTCGATGCTGATGATTTTCCTCACGGATTCGTCATCTACGGCAACCGGTTTCCCTCGCTGTATTTCCCGGCATATTACAAAACAAGAGGTTATCAGTTCTT